CAGTAAGTATCGGATAAGGTCACTAGGGGTGGTTAGCCTAGAGATGAGATTTGGTGTTTTGCAAAAACATGGAGTAATTCTACCTGTCTGTAACAGCTCTGTCTACCTGTATTTACCTGCTATATGATGAGCTGTTGGAGGAACTAGAGATGCTTAGGCTGGAGATGAGAAGACCTAGGCAGGACATGAGATTGGAAGGAATGCTATATAGAGGAGTTAGACTTTTCTGTTTGCCACCAAATCACAGAATCAGGAGCATTGGGTGGAATTTAAAAGAGGGAAATTTAGGTTTAATACCAGGAAGAACTTTTTTTATTGACATTCTCAACTACCCCAAAGTACAATGGGTTAACTTGAGACTCAACCGGGATGTTGTCATGCTAAGTCTGGATGTCCACTTCTCAAGTATGTCATAGGGAGAAGTGATTGCTGAAGCCTCTTCCAGCTATGAAATTATGTGTTTCCTTGCAACCTGTTCTTAAATATATATATATATATATATATTTAACATAATATATGTAACATAAGTATGTATATTTAATGTCTAGGTTAACCTGTTGTCTGCCTTTTTTTTAACATGAGTGTATTTGTAGGCTTAGGGGAAAGGACCAGAATGGAGGAAGATATTGAAGATGTATGAAGGTGAAACATTGAAGCATCAAGATCATGGAGGGTGGGAGGAAATTAGGGTTATTGGAGAAGATGTTGCCTTTCGCTGGAAGGCTTTCTCCCCGAGGTTCAAGGAAAAGAGGAGAGGTGAGGGCCCTGAGAGAATTATAGCAGGGGGGAGGGAGTTGAGATGCCCTCCATCTTCTCAATGAAGTGGTAGACAAGACCATCCTGACAGTGAGGGGAGAAGGGATGGAGTTGGGGTCTTGAGAGGAGAAGTTTGAGAAGTCATGGTGGAAGCATGTTAGCGAACCAATAAAAGAATAGAAAAGGGGCAGCCACGAACTAGTTGGGACTTGGAAGTCCTAAAGAGATCCCATCAACACAGTTTTGTGATTCTCTCTAGTAATATTCAGCAACCTAAGAATAGGCATGACTTTCCTCACCTTTACTACTTCGAATCCCCTGATTTCTTCAAAGCTTATCCTGATCCACCCAATTATGCAGATATAGTCTTAGCCAGGGACACTGCTAACTTCTATGCTCAGCCTGTTTGAGGAAAGAATTCATAGTCACAGGGTGAGAGCTGTCTAAGAAGCACTGTGATCTTCACCTGCAGGGACAGGCTTACTAACCACATCATTCCAAGTAGATGATGGGTAGAGTAGCAGGTGGCATGGATAAGGCAGTGTTATAGATAAAGCCTATCGATTAGTACCAGTGGGAGACGAAAGAGCCATAATCTTCCACTGCAAGCTTACCAACTACAGCATCCCTAATAGATGATAACTAATAGTACTGGTAGACTGTATTTTTGTTGACCTTGAGTACAGCTGTCTAATTGAAGAATTGATGGATTAGAGATTTGGTTTTTGTTGGGAAACAACTAAGATTTGATGTCCATCAAGGGAGGGGTTAGCAGAAGGCAGGACAATAGTATTATCTGAAGAGATCTGTAACTGTGCTGTATCACAGGTGTGAGTTGCACCTCCATATATATGCACTAACCCCATGTCTTCCCTGTGTGTGCTCTCCTCCTACCAATGCAGATACCCTGGCTGTGTGTGCTCCTTGTTTGTGTATACCTCACATGTGATCCCTTTAGGTCCACTCTTCCCACCGAGGGCATGTTTATTTATTGAAGAATAAGCTCAGTGTTTATGGGGGAGAATGTTCTGTTGTTACTTTTATTGCTATACTATTTCAATGCCTTTTCTGGGAACTAGCTATAATCTCTGGTTGACTAGTAAAAGTAAACACATCAGTAGGGGCTTGTGAACTGTGGTTTGGAGAGGATTCTGACCCACAACATACCTGGAACTTAGGGGAGCATTTTTCTCAAGCCTAGGGAAGAGCTGCCACCAATTTACTTAACAGATTAAATGCATTTTCTAGTAGAATGTAAGCTCACTGGGGTAAGGGACTGTGTTTTATTTTTGTATCCCCAGGACCTAATATGGTGTCTTGCTTATAGTAGATACTTAATAAATGTTTGCTGGATTTCAGGGAATGGAGGAGAGGGAGGGGGAGGGAGAGATAGGGAGGGAGGGAAAGAAGGAAAGAGAGAGGAAGAGAGAGAGAGAGAGAGAAAGAGAGAGAGAGGGAGACAGAGGGAGAGAGAGTCCTAGAACGATGAGGGAAGGTGGCAGACCATCTAGGAGGTAAGTCAGGGACAGAAAGAAGGATGGACGTGAGCAGAAGGGTTAGTGAGCCTTTGCAAAGCAGGGTTTTAGAAGTGGCAGGCACATCTTGGCCCTACCCCTAGGCCTTTTGACATTGGGCCCAAGGGCATTTTAGCAAGTTACCTTCCAATGCCAATAAACACATTAAGAATTATGGAAATCCTTCCCAATTTTCAAGTTGAATTGGCAGCATTTGCTTCAAAAAATAATCACTCTGCCTGCCCAAGGACTGGAGCTATAGACTGTTTTCACTGGTCAGTAATAAAGCTCACTAATTGAAGGTTAATTCCTTCTTGGTTACTGAATTTTGGAAGCTGATATGTCCTTGGTTTGTGAGGCTGCCTTCTGGAGACAGAGGGCTTGTGTTAAAGGGAGACCTGGTACACCCCTGGGTTCTTCTATCTCTTGGGCTCAGGAATGGTGGCTAGTATCTTTTGACTTTGGTTTATGGCATCTCTTTGAAGAGAAAAAGTCTACCTTAAGGAAAGATGCACTTACCTCATAGGGAGTAGCTCAGCCTTGAGATACACCTCCCCAGCAATACCCCAGTTATCACCTCTGTTAACTGAGATAGGAGGATTAGGAGTTTAGGAAGAGGGCCTCAGTGTTTCTTTTTGTTTTGAGACATCATCCTGAAAGAATGTTCTGGTTGACCCTACATACCATACCTTGTACATTTATAGAGTCATAATGAAGAGGAGCCATGGGTCCAACAGATTGATTTATGAGCTCTGGGTTTCTTTGAGCAGTTGTGGTCAGATTCAGGGGCCAATGACGTTGTTGCACAGTTGGTTTATTTTTTGTGTTTTATTCTTGAAGGTCTTTGAGTTCTTAGAAGGAAAATGACTATCTTAATTCCTTTGGCAAAGTTATTGATTCTCTGTAGGACAGCTCCAGTCATTGGTTGCCTATGATTTTCCATTTGTGTGCTCCAATAAGTCTCAGACTCCGTTGATGTGGGTTGTTTCCTTCTCTGGGACCAAGGACATAATGATCATGCCTTTACTGCTGTGCAGTTTTATTCCTCTCCAATAGAAGATGCGCTCAGCATGCTAGAGGCCTTCCCAATAAACATTGGGAACATGGCACCTGCTATGTGCCAGGCTCTGTGCTAAGTACTAAGCTTACAAAGAATGACAAAACAAAACAAAATTAAGTGAGCAAACAAACAACAGCAGCAACAACAAACCATTCCCTGCTTCCTCTAGTCAGGGAGTGTGATAGAGAAGAAAGAGGACTGAATTTTGGAATCACGAGACCTAGGTTCAAATCCCACCTTTTTTCTCCAATCACAGTTTTTTTTTTTTTCCCAGTCACAGTTACTATCTGTGTGACTTTGGGAACACTTCGCTTTGCTAAGTCTCAGTCTCCTCGTCTGTCAAATGAGGAGGTCAGGTTCTGTGGCTTCTCCAGGCTCTTCCAGCTTCAGATCTATGACCCTTTGATGGATGAAATCTAGATATGTTGTATATGAGAAGCAGAGTGGTGTACTAGAAAGAGCACTGACCTAAATTTCAGGAATATCTGGATTTTTGAACATAATTTCCTTTATAATTTCCTCCCTTCACACCCTGCAAAAAATTTTTAAATTAAATTTGCTTATTTGATCTCTCCTAAAAACATTGTTGCAACAATGTTGTTTAAAGAGTTGCTGCCATTACAGGAACAAAAAATACCTCATTTTGTAGATGGAAGTACTGGTGTCCCATTCTGCAAAAGCCTCATGACCTGGATTTTCACTATCCTTCTTTAATCTTCTCAGTAACTAATTTGTCCTAAAATCCTGGACTTTGATATTTTGACATGTGTTCTGCGCTTCCTTGTGGTCCATGATTCTTTTTCCTTGACTCAGTTGATTAATTGGGAAGCTGTGTGCTTTAGCGGGTAAAGAACTGGACTGGGAGTCTGGAATTCAGTTCAATTTAACAAACAGTTTTTACGTATTTACTCGGTGTACAAAGCACTATGCTAGAAACTGGGGATATATGCATTAAAACAATGAGATTACATCATATTAAGGGGAGACGATATATACCCAAGAAAATAAATACAAGGTAATGCAAAATAATTTCAAGAGGGAGAAAAGCTAATAGTGGATGAGAAAGGGAGAGAAAGGAACAACTATGTGTTAAGCACCTACTGTGTTCTAGCCACTGTACTAAGTACTTTACAAACTTCATTTGATCCTCACACCAACACTGGGAGGAATGCGCTATTATTATCCCGACTTTACAGTTGAGGAAACTAAGGCATCACAGAGATTAAATGTCTTGCTGAGGGTAACACAGTAAGTGTCTGAGGCAAGACTTGAACCCAGGTCTTCCTGACTCCAAGTCCAGTGCTCTCTCCTTTGATCCTGCTCATGCATATGCTCCATGATATTGGAGCCTATCACCCCACCTCTCTGGTTCTCAAGCATCTCTCTAAGACTTATCCACTAAGCTGCAGATATTGTTGGACAGAAGTCCTAAAACAATAAAGAATGCATCCTTGATGTATTTGGGTAAAGGTTATTTATCCGAGGGTACTAACTGAACCTATTTTTAACTATTCTTTTAAAAGAAAGTTAATAATGTATGCTTTTTATTTTATCCCATCTATTTCTGCTATACAGTTATCAAAGTAATACAAAGAGCGGTCTCAGTTCTGCGATATTCACATATTACTGCATCCTTGGAATTCACACGTGTTCATGTATGCTTTTCTTAGACATATGAAAGACCAAAATAAGAAAGTGGCCAACCTTAAGCACAACCAACAACTGGAAAAAAAGAAGAATGCCCAGTTATTGGAAGAAGTACGAAGGAGGGAGGATAACATGACAGACAATTCCCAGCACCTACAGGTAAGCGCGTTCAGCGATTCTCAAAATTTGCCAGAGGATCTTTTGCCCTTGGATGTTGCCAGGACTGCGTCGAAGATACCCGGTGTGCCATTGAATCTCATTCTCTTGAAACCAGCATGTGTAAAATGTGATCCCATTAAGGGTAATTTGCCAAATGGTGCTGAGAAAAACAAAAACAAAAACATGAAAACCTCACCCCATCGATGAGCCCGTCATCTGGGTTCATTTGTGTCTTCTCGAGGTAGAAGGTGAGCACTGTTACCTCTGCTTGCCAATTCGGTGTCACATCTACCTTAATCAGATGTAATGGAAAATGGAAATGTGTGTTTTTATTTCCCTAAAGACCTTCATTTTCAAATATGGCCCTCCAATTTGGTTCCGTTATGCGTCTTTGCTCAGTAGAGATCTATACAAAGGTGGATGAAGCTGTTAAAAATCCCATTTTAAAGGTTTTTGCTTTGATTTTGGGATTGACGTGAATTATGCTTTATTTCTGGGTAATAGAAATCTGTCTTAGGGAGAAGCATGTCTCTTTGTATATCCGAGTTCTCAACCATGTAGAATGTCAGCTTTAGCACACTTGGGGACGAAAAAGCACCTATGACCCTGTGCCCAATAAAATTGTGTAGCCAGAAGAAGGGCCTGCTCAGTTCAATGGAACGAGCATTTATTAAGTGCCTTCTGTGCGCCGGACATTGTGCTAGGAGAGAGAATATTCCACATAAGAGATTTCTCCAGCGTATGCTGGAGTAGAGATGGCTGTGCTTAACTTTGCTTCCAGCTCATATTAAATTCTACATTAAAAATTCCCCCCACTTAAGTAGCATTTTAGTGTTCAGAAGGGAATTTCCATAATTTTGCTCTTCACAATCGCCCTGTTGAGTTTGCCTATTGTCTTCCCTGCGAGCCTGGGAGCTCTTTGATGGGAGGGACCATGTATCTACCCTTCTTTGCATCCCTACTACTTCGCCTAGTGCCTGCCTATAAGGGTTTAATAGTCGGTCAGTTAATACACATTTATTAGGAACCTACTATGTGCCAGGCTCTGCGCTAAGCACTAGGAATACAAAGAAGTAGTTGCTCCCTTCAAGGAGCTTACAGTCTAATGGTGGAGACAACCCATAAAGATTCAGACAAGATAAACTGGAGATAATCACTAGAATTAAATGCTTTTTGATGAATTGACTGACATTGGAGAAGAACCATGGCTTAGCAGATAGAGAACTGGTCTTGGAGATAGAAAGAGCTTGATTCCTGTCCCTTTTCTAGCACATACTGGCTGTGTGATCCGGGCAGATTCTTAACAGCTCTTGGACAGTGGCCAGACAACTCTTTAAGACTATTAGTTGCAAAGTAGGTGCTGATCTGAAGCGTAGAGGTACTCTGTTCACGTGGGAGTTCCCTGTACAGGTGATTTCACAGATCTAATCTTTGCCCCTGTTACAGATGTGGAAACCATCACTGCAAAGGGAGTGATTCACTTAGAGTGACTCAGCCAACTCATATCAGAGGCAGATTTTGAACCCAGGGCTTCCTGATCCCAAGTCCATTGGTCTTTCCCTTACAACATTTGCCTCTATGCTTTGTTGAATGGCTTCCATCTTTAGGTAATAGAGACTGAACAGATTAGAAAACTGTTGGACAATCTAAATTCTTAGCTGTTGTTTATATATTTTAAGAACTATTCCATATAAGAAGAAGTCTGTTCTAAAGGAAGAAACAGGGCAAAAGCCTGCCCAGCTGCACGGAGTGCTACATTCCTAGCTTGGGCATTTCCTGGCTGTGTGACATTGGGGTGGCTACCTAACCTCTCTGAGTCTCAAGCTCCTCATCTGTCAAATGGGCACAATAATTCTTAGACTGCCTAATCCAGTTCAAGGGATTGTTGATGGAAGGGGCCACCACGGGGGAGATTTTCTGTGACACTTTCCACACAAGTATAATAATTAAATGCACCTTCTGTCTCAATAGCCATCGGCCACAGACGAATCTGCTGCTATAGGATTCGTTCTTTTAAATATAGTCTGTGGTGGCTGCTTTAATTATGTCGATTTTTTTAATGTTAAAAAGAAATGATCAGAACGACTTTTTCACGTGAAGACAGTTTGGAATATTGTGAAGAGTTCTGGATATGAATCCAAAGGGCTTCCTATTTTTTTCCTATTTGACCTTGGCCAAGTCATTGAACCTTTCTGGGCCTCAGTCTCCTCATCTTGTAAAGTGAGAAGGATGGGCTAGGTTTCCTTCAAGGTTCTCTGTATCTCTACGTCCTCACTCCCACATGAATATGGGTTTTTAAAAATTATCAAACTTGCGATTTCATCAGTGTTGGGAGGTCTCCGTGAGGCACTTTCCCTACTTTTTCTGTAGCTTCCAGTCTTTGAGAGGTTCCTGGGATAGTGAGAGGTTCACCTGCCGAAGATGCCATAGCTTGTGTGGAGCAGAGGTGACCCTTGGACTCAGGTCAGCCTGCCTCTGAGGTCAGCTCAGGATTCATTACATCATGCTGCCTCTTTCTGAATGTGTGAGTGTGTGAATGTGTGTGAGTGTGTGTGAGAGAGTGTGTGAGTGTGTGAGAGTGTGTGTGAGTGTGTGAGAGAGATTGTGTGTGAGTGTGTGAGAGAGTGTGTATGTGTGTTTGAATATCTGTGTGTATGTGTGTGTGAGTG